AAATTACCGCAGAAGAGAAACTATTTTTCCTAAAACACATACACGATTTGAAAATTTAAGTTACGCCTCATAGACAGTTTAATTCAACTTTTGATTAAAAACTTTCTGCATAAGTCACTTTTTGGAGATCTGAAACTTGTTTCTTTGTGATTAGAAAAAGTTCTTTGTCAATACTTTATTGCTTTATATTAAACCCATACTCAGTTAGTTTTTTTTTAATTTTTATTTATAATATTACTATTGTGATTAACAACAATAGTATTATTCAGTGAAATAATTTCAGTAGTAAAATTCAGTAAACCGAAGGTACAATAAGTACCTTTGTTAAATTTACATAATAATAATAATATTTTGCACTATCTTTTTATTTTCCATTCAGTCAAACATTCATAAAATAATTAAGTATAAAGAGCATACTTATGGTATGTTGAATTATTGCATACTTATGTTAATATGGAATGATTGACAATCTTCTAAAAAATTAAGTTTGATATAAAAAGTTTCATTTTATTGACAAATTGATTTGCTAAAGAGATAGTCTTTATTCGATTTCAATTTTTTAGTACAGGAAACTTAATTTATAATTCTTTAGGCGATTTAAAAGCTCAGTAAGATATAAGTACCATGATAGATGTAATCAGTATTCATTCCACTTCTTCAATGTGGCCAATTTTATATTTGGTCATATAGTCCGTTTATTTGTTAATGTCTGTAAACTTATATGGGAGAAGCTACTAAATATTAACTGTAAAACTACACTCTTACTTGCATATCTTATAGTCTGTGTCGATATTGTAGTCTCAATACATCAAAATCTTTTCTGGATAATCGAGTTTGTAATAAAATTATGTATCTTAAGTAAAAAATGTACCTTAAAATTTTCCATTGATAAAAAGAACATTCAAAAATATTACAATACTTTTTAATCATTTCGGCAATTCTTACTTTGTATATTTAAACTGTTCAAAACACAAAAACATGTCTCATATTAATGTATCATCTGTAATTGTAAGAATAAATTTATTGTGCAAATGATAAAATATTCGTAATATTGTACGTATATTTTTTTCTCTTAAAAATAAGTGTTTCAAATTTCAAATAAAAGATCAAAAATATCTGCGATTGTATATATACAAAATTTATTACATGTGTTACTAATTGTAATTTCTTTTCTGGTTTATAATATATAATGAATTCTTTTTTTCTATCATTATAGAAAAAAAGAGCTCATTATAGAAAAAAGGAAGCAATTTTATAAGATTTATATATGATATTGCTTATTGTGTATGTTTGATTTTATAAAATTCATGCAAAAATTTATTTCAGTGATGCACTTATTGATCAAACAATTTGTCGAACATATATATTTTGTTACATTTCAGAAATGAATACATTTGTGTGTAGACTTATTTTTTGTGCAAAAATTGCAGATTATGAGAATATTATACACCTGTTTGATAATTTAATAAAGAAAAATATTACACAACATATTACAGGATTACTTTTAGTTTATTCTGATTTCATGATTCATTTAATTGAAGCTTCAGAGGAAGATATATTTCAATTGTGTCGTGAAGTATTTACCAATAATTCAAGCAGAATGACGAATATTAAATGTTTGTACATGCAAAATAATGCAAAGAAAAGATTTTTTAAAGAATGGTATTTTAAGAAAATGAAAAATAATACTTTAGAGGATGATAAATTAAAAGAACTTGAAGATAATTTTGAAAATGTTTCCTCAACATATGAAGCAGTAGTTGGAAATTTATTTAAATTGTACATTAAACTATGGCATAAATTGCGATTAGGAAGTTATGTGAGTACAGATTATTGAATTAATTTTTAATAAAAAAAAATTATTGCTAAGTAAATATCTTTTGCAGGAAAATTTTAATGAATATTTGGATTTAATAGTTGTAAATGGTCATCCGAACATTCCATCTAGAAGAAATATAAAATTTATACTTCAAAGTGTGTGGGGATATAATTTAACAACATTAGTAGAAAATTATTATAATTTAAATTATTTCTCTAATTTTGACGATTATTCTTCAGTTTCCGAAATGATACAGGAAATTAATCTTAATTATAACAAATAATTGTGTAGTTTAATTTAAGAAGTCGATTAAAAACAGATTAATTTTCGTTCGACATATTTTTTTGTCAGATCATCAAAAGTCCATAAGAAATCGTAGCGGCAGTTACACTACATCTAGTATAACAAAATACTACAAAAGAAAATTGTGAACTATATATATTTCCATAAAATTATTAATCAAATATATTCATATATAATTATATTCACATTATTAAAACAATTATCATTAGCTTAATGATTATTACAAGCAAGTATTGATTCTGCTTTTTCTGTGATTACTAAGTTAGGTTATACATAATAAAACTTATCTTTTTAAATAAACTTTGCCTAAATAAATGTATTTTTTAAATACTAATTTACTCCTTATAAGAATATTTTATTATTTATATAAAAAATCTTATTTTCGATGTTTTAATTATTGTTTTGCTATCTATCACAGTGTATTACGAAGATTTTACAGTAATTACCAAAATTTTAGAATAGAAAACAATGGGTACTTCGTCTAAGAACAGTACTGACAATTTAGATTTAGAATATGCTGTAGCAGGAGCTGTTAGTGGCTTTGTAACACGATTTGCTTGTCAACCATTAGATGTTGTAAAAATTAGATTTCAGGTAAAATTATATAAGTAATACAATGACAATATTTATAATATTATAGACATTAAGAAAAAAAATCTTTATTACTGTAGTTACAAGTCGAACCTATTGCTAACCATCATGTTAGTAAATATCGTTCTTTACTGCAAGCATTTTACTTAATATTTAAAGAAGAAGGTATTTCAGCTTTTTGGAAAGGACATGTGTCTGCCCAATTATTGTCAGTTATATATGGGATGAGTCAGGTGAATATATATTTTATGGAACTATCATATAGCTTTTTATTTCTGTTATATAATACTTAATTTAATTGATATAAATATTAATGAAATAATTTTAAAAATCTTAATTTCAATTTGAAACATTGATTCAGTTTTACACCTGATACTGTATATCATATTTGATGTCTGTAACTTATATATTAAAATTTGTTTATATACCAATATTTTTAATTAAAAATTATAACAAAAGTTAAGAAATGTGAGAATATCTTTCCAAAAGAGTCAAAAATTTTCAAACAAATTTTTAAACAGTATCACTTGTAACACTAGTTCATTTGAATTTTTTTATCTAAATATGTAAACGTTTTAAAATATGTATATATTAAAATATATAAGTAAATATGAAAATTTTACAGTTCTATTCATATAATGTGCTCATGCATGAGTTTCATAATTTCCCATTACTAAATGAATGGAGATATTCAACAAAGTTTATAGCTGGTGCAGGTGCTGGTTTTATAGCTACAACAGTATCATTTCCTTTTGATACTATAAGAACCAGATTAGTAGCACAATCAAATAATCATATAGTCTATAAAGGAATTTGCCATTCTTGCAGGCAAGTTGAATGTCATAAATACATCTGTCATTAAATCAAATATTGTTTGACAAAATATATTTTCAGTTGTATAATACGACATGAATCTCCAAAGGCTTTTTTTTATGGATTATTACCAACTTTATTGCAAATTGTACCACATACAGGTTTGCAATTTGCATTTTATGCATTTTTCACTGATATGTATAAGAAATATTACAATGAAGCTGATATTAAGTTTTCTAATTCTATGATTTCTGGTAGCGCAGCTGGCTTATTAGCTAAAACTATAATATATCCTTTTGATCTTAGTAGAAAAAGATTACAAATACAAGGCTTTCAAAATGGTAGAAAAAGTTTCGGTACTTTTTTCAAGTGTAATGGACTTATAGATTGCTTAAAATTAACCGTTAAAAAAGAAGGAGTAAAAGGATTATTTAAAGGTTTAGCACCAAGTCAATTGAAAGCTAGTGTAACAACAGCATTACATTTTACAATGTATGAGCAAAGCTTAGTAGCGTTGAAAGTATTGAGATTATATATTTCAGAATAGTGAAGTTATTGAAATGTTAGTTTTGATATTAAAAGAATACTATATATTCTCTTTTTACTACTTATGTACTAAAAATATGTATAAATATTAAGTAACGTTTATATATATATATATATATATATAACATAATATGATCATATTTGTACAAAGAATTAAAGCCTAAAGCTGGTTTAGTATACCAGCTATATATATTTATTTCTGTATATTTTATATATTTATTTATGATATTATAATATTTATAATTGAAGTGGACTAGGCATTTCAGCAGGAACTCCTTTCAGAACTGCTATAATATTTTTAGCAGTAATTATTGACATTTCTTCTCGCGTTTCTATAGCAGCACTACCAATATGAGGTAGTATAACTAAAACATAAATAAATTGTTATTTTTAGTAAAAACTTATAAATAGATTTTAGTAGACATACCGCAATTATCTAATTTTAGTAGCTCATTGTCCAATGGAATAGGTTCAGGAGTCATAACATCTAAACCAGCAGCTCTGATTATTCCATTTTTTAAAGCTTCTATCAGAGCAGGTTGATCAACAACATCTCCCCTACTCACATTTATAAATATAGCAGATTTTTTCATTTTTTGGAATGTATTTTTGTTAAACATTTGTCTTGTATCTGGAGTTAAAGCTGTTGTTACAATTATAAAATCACTTCTCTTTAATAATGTATCAAGTTCTACTTTTTCTCCTCCAAATTGAATTGCTTCATGCTTAATATTTCTACTTGTATATAATATTTTAGCAGTGTTAAATCCTTTAAGGCATTTTGCTACTTGAGTACCAATACGACCTAATCCTACTATTCCAACTGTTGATCCAGATAATCCAGGTCCACACATCCATGTCGGTGACCATGCTTTCCATTCACCTCTATATTATGTTTTAAATAAAATACTCATTATATGACTTAACATCTAACAAGAATATATTCTGTTTCATACTTATAAATGGCTCTGTTTGCTTCTATCAATCTCCTAGATGTAGACAATAAGAGTGCTACAGCTAATTCTGCTGTGGCATCTGTTAGAATACCAGGAGTATAACCAACTTTAATATTTCTCTTTTTTAAAGCTTGCAAATCTAAGTGATCAACACCAACTGACATAGAAGCCACAACTTTTAATTGTGGTCCTGCTGTATTTAAAACTTCTTCATCTATTTTGTCTGTTAATAAACAATAAACTCCATCCACATTTTGTATTTTTGATAATAACACAGATCTAGAAATTGGCTCAGGTTTTTCCCATAAAATAACATCACATCTAAAATATGAAACAAAAAAAAGAATTAATAAATAATTTTCTCATGATAACTATGTACAGATTAAAAATATAATATTTAAGAAAGATGTTAAAGCATGTAAAACAATATGTTTACATAAATACAACTTCATTTAATAGAATGTCATGTTTTACATGATTTAAAAGAATAAAATATATCTTAAGTGTATTTAAATATTTAAGAATATACTTACTGTTCTTTTAATAAATTTAATCCGGCAGCAGGAATGTCTGGACGAGTGACCAAAACTTTTGGTCGGTTCATTTTGACTGGATTAGATGTAAAAAGTTTCTGATCGTTGTGTCTTAAAAGTTTAAGAGCGATTACAAGCAATGACCTTTGAGTTGATTTTGCATAAAAAGTGAGGTTAGATAACATTTTTTGTTACTACAATAGCAGATATTTAATTTTTATTTCTGTTCAATTTTGACACTATGAAATAGAGAAAGATATAACCTCACTTATTGTCGTTTAAATACATTAATTTTTTTTTTATAGTTTTGAAGTTCAAGTAGGTGAATCTGAATATATAGATAATTATAATTACAATATTTTTTATTGATTTGAAACTATTGGATAAAATTTCTTTTTTTTTTAGTAAATGTAATATTTCTATTGTTTTATAGATATTTTATATATTTTATTAGAAATTTGTAATAAAAGACATTTCCCAATGTAATGAATAAATATAATAAAAAATAAAAAATTTTATTATTTTTTATATCCATAGGAAAATATAATACATTGCATAATTATCAATACTGTACTGTAAATTATTGAGATTTTAAATTGTCACAATTTTTTTTAGCTGCTAAAATAGTATTTTTCATCAACATTACTACAGTCATAGGACCTACACCTCCTGGTACAGGAGTTATATGTCCAGCAACTGCTTGTACGCTTTCAAAGTCTACATCCCCTATTAATTTGTATTTATTATCTATTTTTATTCTTGTAATCCCTACATCAATTATACATGCTCCTGGTTTTACCATTTCCTTAGTGATCAGACCAGGAATACCAGCTGCAACTACAATTAAATCTGCCAATTTCGTAAGTTTTTCTAATTCAGTGTGAGGAGTATGACGATGACATATTGTTGTAGTCATATCTAATGCTCCTATTTCATCTGTGAATTAATTTGATGTTAAAATTTCTGGGAATCTTACATTTATTTTTACATTCTATATTATATTATATACCTCTGCTATCAGCATGTAAAAGTAGTGCAATTGGTAATCCAACATGTTTAGATCTTCCTACTACCACTGCATTTTTCCCAAAAGTTTCGATATTGCTTCTAATTATCAATTCTTTCACAGCTAAGGCAGTTGCAGGAATAATCCCATTACTATTTGATGCTAAACTACCCAGGTTTTGTAAATGGAAACCATCAACATCTTTATTTGGTACAATTGCTTGACACACTTCATGTTCGTTCATGTGTTTTGGTAGTGGTAGTTGCACAAGAATCCCATCTACATTTTTATCTTTATTTAAATAATCAATTTCTTTAAGAAGATCTTGCTGTGAACTATTTTCCTCTAAGTAGATAGTATAATTTTCAATTCCTGAGTTAACAATAAAATAAACATACAGTTAGGTATATATTGAATATATAAATTATTTTTATTAAGCTAGTTTACATATCAGCATTCTTTTACCAATAAAATTTGCTGCTTTTATTTTTCTTTCAACATATACTTTACTAGCTGGATCATTACCAACTTTTATAGCTACTAATTTAGGCCTCCTTTTATCATTATTTATCCAACTCTGAACAGTTGCTTTTAATTCATTTTGAATTTCATTAGCTATTTCTTTACCATTTATTATAACAGCTTTTTGTCTGAAAAGAATATATGTTGTTTATTTGATATTGAATCAACTAAAAAGTTATATTAAAAAAAAAATTACAAAAATAGTAATTTCTGATACTTCTTTGACAATTTTAATTTCTTTAATTAAATATATGTTACTTACAAAAGTCTTGAAGTATATAATTGTCTTAAAGATCCATGTAAAGTAATTGGCAAAATTTTTTTCCAGTGAAACATATTTTAAATGTAAAATAGTTTATACATTTAACATGTCATGGTAGAATATATTTGATTATTTATATATGTAATAATATATAAATTATTATCCGTATATTACAATATTTAAATATAATATTTAAATGTAAATAATTAAATATAAATAAATAATAATTATTATAAAATGCCGGCTATAAAATGTTACGGTTTTCAAATTTGTTCTTGTAATTGTAATTTGAAATTTTATAATTTGAATATCGCAAGCGTAAACAATGTGGTGAATACAACTGCTGTTAGTGAAAGTACGCTCAGTAATTCGCAGCGATGAAAATTCTGTAAAATATTGTAGTGAAAGGGAATGTTGACTTTTACTTTTTAAACTAGTTTCGCAGGTGCTGTTCTATTTGTATAAAAAATATTTTAAATATTCATTTAGGAAAAGTAACATTGTAATTTCATATATATTGTTTAAGAAAGTGATAATATAATATTACAAAGATATAAAAATATTCTACACAAATTGTCCTATTTTTCTTTAGATATATAACGATACATATATAGCAATAGTGTCGTTATTTAAATTTCGTAAATTGGAATATATTTTATTTATAATTCGTCATGTAACACCTATACAGGTTAGATAACACCTATATCTTTCCACGCAAGTGCATTTCCCGCTAAAATATGAATTGAGCACGTGAGTGGAAGAAAGAATATTTTTTGTATTTCGGATTACAGGAAAAGACGTAGAGAAATATTCAAAGTTTCTGTTAAAAAAGTGAATATGGTATATTTAGTAAATTAGTTTTTATTTCTTATCCCTTGCAATTCCAAGCGAATACTTTTACTGTTTATTCTGCATCTGTTTTTCTTATTTTCGAGATTCACTCGTGAAAGCTCTCGTCGATTAGTCGATTAGCGGCTTCGACTGATGAATTTGTCTGAAGATGGCTGTGCAAAGACTTTGATTGTTGAAAACACGCGTCGGAACGTTGACACGTAAATGTTTGATTTCATTATATATATCGTTCGCGAGTGATTATAAAGGAAAGCTATTGTAAAGAAATAGATTTATTGAGTATTATTATAACAAGAGTGATGCCATTCCACAGCCTAACTATACACTAATGTGGAAATTACACCGATATTCACGATACACTAGGCATCGTCAATCGCCTACAAAAAACAGTCTTAGAGCTTTAAGAATTTACATTTCTAGTTATTACAGTTTATAACTATATTCTATACTTTGTAATTTTATTCGAAATTTTAAGTTTCAATTTTAACTATTACAAATGTTGTAATCTTATTCAACGACAAATCAATGATGCTAGAAATTACGCTACATGGTAAGAAAATTCTTCTGAAATATGTAACCATTGACTAAAGATAGAATAGACTAGACAATAAATGGAACTAAAGATAGAATAGACTAGACAATAAATGGAACTAAAAATAGAATAGACTAACTCGTATCTCTGAAGTATCGACCAGGAAAAAAATCGCTAGTTTTTCAGCACACTTTAGGTTAAATTATTGATTAACATCGAATAAGAATAATCGATAAAATAGACTAGATAGATTCGTGTCTAATTTATTCTTAAGAAAATTAAATTTATTAAATTTTGACTTAAAATTAGATCAAGATTAAAAAAACATAAAATTATAGACACAAAATTACAAACGTAATTTCTCATATTCTACAGTTGTGACATTTTTGTAAAAATATTATTTAATGAACGAAAAGAATTAGAAGGAGGAAATTTTTATTTTTTGCTTTCAGTTTATTTGCAATGTATTTTCGTATTTTGTAAATGCGCGCGCAGTAATTCTAACTTTAGTAAAGACTACAGCGCCAATGAAGTGGTGAAATTGTGTTCGAGAATCGCAATTACGAACACAATTCGAGATTCTTCGTAATCTAATCGATCTGATATTGAGATGTAATGTAAAACCGTTAGTCTTAGGTGGGGAGATTTTCACGAGAAATGTAACAAGAAGCTGTAATCCAGAAATTTTCAAGTAAAAACTTGTTTTTGAATTATCGAATAGTTAAAATATAACTTATCTAAAGTTTAAAACAGTGAGCATTATTTAAAAGAGTTATTACGTATTTAATGATGACTATAATTTGTATACACATTTTCCACCGGATTTAACGATTTCTGTTTATCGATATTTGCAATGATTTTCTGTAGGCTACAATTAAATATGTCCTCCTCGCATCTAAATGTAAGTAATTTTATCTTTTTTGTCTTTTGATTATGATTATTTAAATTACTGCGAATAAAAGTAAAAATAAATCTAATAGTTTTATTGCCGTGCTGAATAAATTATTTTTTACAGATCGTCTGTTTTAAATATTTCGAAGTCAAATTCATTTTCTTAAATGAGGCAGTTATTTATTAAGATGAACTCAGTGACTTGGATATCAGGTTATTAGTTGTTGTAACTCGTTCAAAATTAGTGAATTATGTTTAAAGTTCAATAAAATAGCGAAAAAAATCATAAAGCTAGTTTTAAGGGCTCACTATAAAAGGGAGATTTCAATTTTCAAGATCATGATTGATCTGGTCATGAAAAAAAATTGTTCAGTGATGGAAAAATTTCTCCTCAGTGAGACGTTCGAATTTTTACAATATTTGAAAATGATTCACTTTTACAATTGCTGCACAATGCAGAAATAAATATCACTGAAAGAAATTATTAAAGGATTATTAAAGTAGAGACTTTGCGCTTTAAAATAAAATCAAGTTAATTGTTCTACAATTCTTTTTTAAATTTTTATCTATATTTTAACAATTTTTTATCTAGTATATGAATATTTTTGTTCTTTTTTAAGAATGTTTCATGAATTTTGTGTATTTGATTTAAACCAGAGTCTTTTATTTTTTATTCCAAGTTATCAATTCGTGTGAAACGCGTGATAACAGCGCCTCAACGGTGAAATACGCAATATACGATTCTCGAATCATGATCGATATTTCTCACGATCGACTTTTAAGTGGGAAGTATGGTGAAAAGAAGCACGCCTCATCTGCAAAGAAGGAAGTATTATTCAGAAGTATCATCCAGAAATTCTCAGGTAAAAATATAAATCAATAATTGTTAGATTTGTGTTTGTATTGTGAATTTTTATAATAAAACGTGCATTTTTGGTTTCAAGCTAAGACTCAACCAAATAATTATTACATATAATTTTCGACAATTAAAGAAATAATATCATATAAACACTTAAACAGGACACACTAGAAATTATTTATAATTTTATACCAAAATTTAATTTCAATTGTAACCAATACAAATATTGTAACCTTGTAATTGATAAACTCATTGTTTTATATATGTATGTATTTTATAATATTCTTTTACACACACGCTTCTATTATAACATTTTTTATTTATTTGTTGATTCCTTAACTTCATACTGAGTAATTCTTAACAATTCTAATAACTAAATTCAACAATAGTTTATTAAGAATGTACGTATTTAATAGTGAAAATAATAATTTTACTGCGTAATATAATGAAATTGTTCAGTTCTCAAATAAAGTGTTGGAAGGCGAAATTCATTAAGCAAAGAAAACTTTGAAGCTCGAAATTCATTAAGCATCAAAATAACGAAATGGAGTAAGATTTTGAAGCTTTTCGTGATGATTTTTCTATGATTGTTGATTTCACTCTTAAGATTACCAGTATCTTCTCTTGTACGCTTTTTTAAATAGAATTTGAAGTTGATTATCATTTCACTTTTACAGATTTGCCTTTATTTGACATATTTGTTCTAACTTGGTTTCTTTTGTGCAGGTTATTCCTTGGTTGCAAAGATAGCATAGAATGCATAGATGCCACGATCATTAATGAACGATCTGATGAACTTCCACGAAAACATTGGTAACATTTTCTTCATTCTAGATGACATTTGCTATACAATTTATATATATTTGAAATACAATTCACAATACGTAATTTTGTAATTGTATGGGATACAAGGATGAAAATGGAAAAGATTAAATCAATTAATATTTTATTTCGAATTTGGAGATCGTAGTAGTTTAATGGTATATACTTTCAAATGGATATTCCCGTATTAGATTATTAAATTCAAAGTTTAAATTCAAAGTTTACTTTACCATACTATACTTTGATACAATGTACTTTTTTTGAACGCCGACGCGCAATTAAACAATTCAGAGCACGATTTCACACGTGCATTTAAAAACATTTAGTTGTGAAATTTTTATTTGTGCAAACATTTTCGAATATTTATAATAGACGACGTGATATATTATTAATGTAAATAACTTCATACTTTAATAATGTTTCTGCAAATATTCAGAAATACTTCAATGCATAATCAAGTTTTTTTATAATCATGTTAGAAATATAGTCATATTTTCGTTCTTTTTGCCCTTCCCCTTTTAATTAGCTTTATTTTCAGAGAATTTCTGTGACCGCGCGCAATGCGATCACTAGAGTCAGTGTTTATTGCGCAATATTGTAATATTTTTCTGAGTAAAATGGCTTTTATTAAATTAAATTATCAATTCATTCAAATTATAATTTTCGGCACACTGGCTACAAAACTTGGAGACCCGACTCTAGTGCAACGAACAA